GTATGTATATATTGTTTTTCATTTTGTATTTTAGTTTCTTTAATTTATTCAATTTTCTTTTGTTCTTCGTTATCATTTGACCATAGAAGTTGGTTGATTGTTGACCAATACTTGTTTCTTCTTACATTTGAGATCTCATCCTTTGAATACCTTCTACAAATTTTGTTACAAATTTTTTTTAAATATAAGAAATGGTTTTCCAGTTATATAAGGGGTTTTATGTAAGTCCAATGGATGTGGTCTTCAAAGTTTATGATAATAATCGGAAAGAAAGTAAGTTTTCGCAAACTTAAATAAATAAATTAAGCAATAAATTTAGAGTTGATAAAGTCGCTCGTCGGTTTTGTCCAATCGTTCTTTGCCTAAGTTTATCTTACTTCTTGTTATCCTAGTGATTGCGATATGAGAAATCAAAATACCAAGTCTTTGTTTGGTCTCCGCTATAAAATATATGTGTATTGTGTATTATTAATAAATCTTCTGTAAATCCTCTTCCTGGCCAATTTAATACTTAAAAATTATATTATGACATCCTAAACCATATAAAGATTATCAGTTCACATAAAGATTATTACAATCGCATGGCTTTATGCTATCGCGATACGAAGCTTAGTGTTATAACCTAACCGGTCTAGAATTTTTAATCGATACCTACGAATGTTTGGCAGGAGTTGCTAATATGATATTAATAAACCTCCCTCTACTACCATTATAAAAGGAATATTCTTCAAATATGTTAAACCTAAACTGTGGGGTTGTGTTTCAAACGCCTGCACCTGTCCTTTTACTTGTAAAATTGTTAGCGCCCCTAACATCGGATGGCTCCACAAAACTTACATTGACGGTGATCTGTACGAATTTTGTCTCTGGCTGACGGCGTGAGTAGAACAAACGGAAATGTCAATCGTCCTATCAGGCTGACTCTCCTTTCCATCAAATTCATCGTCAGTGCGACAACCTTGTCGATTTCATGATAGTTCTTATCTTTTAGCTAACCACCTATGAAATCCTACTCTTAGCATCCACCATAATACTTACTAAGTATCGGATTAAAGTAATTGACGATTGTCGTCCTCTACCTCATTGGTAGTATTTGTAAAACTTATATAATGTGAAGAGCGAAACTTGTGCTAAAATTATTCTGTCCTTCTTTCTATAAGGAATTAGATCAGAATCAGATTTTTCGAAGACGATTCTCAAACAAACCTAACAAACTCTTTGAAGAGTGCTGCATAAATTGTAAGAAAATGAAAAAAAATTTCAAAAAAAATTTAATTGAATAAATAAAGAGAAGTAGTTTTCCGTATCCATATAAAATATTTCAAATTACCTTTTATTGTGTAATATTGGAAATTTTACTTCATTTTTAAAAACCACAAAAGCAGCAATTAAGGCTGGCAAGATTCAACCCTGTTTCAAATACATTTTAGTTTATTAATCCCTTTATCCTCCTTGTGGGCATTTGTATCTCTTTTTTATATAAACTGTGTTTTCTTATATAAACTCAATCGTTTAGTCCTTCACTTCTTTTAATAACAAAAAAGGCAAACCAAACAGTTACTGTATAAAACATTTTTTAACTTTGCTTCCCTATCTCTACCGAGCCCATGCCAGCTTTATAACGTAGTTTGTCTTTTTGGTTTTTGTGGTTATTGAAGCGATTATTGAACAAAAACATGCTTTAGTGAAGCAAACTCTGTATGTATGCATAGAAGAAGTGTTGGCGGTGTTCTTGTTTTCGGCTTTGCGAAATTCTTCATTTTATACGTTCTTTTTTTTTTTTTTTTTTTTTTTTATTCTTTATCTAACCATGTGTCTGGTCTGAGCAGTTGTGTTTGCCCTTGAGTTCAATAATAACAATCGCCTTTAATCGTATTGCATTAAGCCTTGATCATCCGATACTATCATTAGTTTTTATTTTTTCTGCGGTATATACTCAGTGTCTGTCGCTTATAGCACATGAAGGTACAAACTTGAGCGAAATTCCATTCTGTTGTATATATATGTATCAGTTTAATGCAATAATTCAATTGGAAATAGCCTGTTAAGACAACGACGTTCTTCTATGTTTTTACTGAGCTCATTTTTTTTTTTTTTTTTTGCTACAACTCTTTATGAGATTAATGGAGGGCAATCATTCTATTGTACAAGTATATGCTGGTCGTATACATGTTGAAAACTCTATAATTACGAGAAAATTGACCATCACACTATTGTTAAGACAATGTTTATTAATAAAAATAACATCAATTTATTTTAAAATAAATTTTAGACTTAAAGTAGCACACTTTGAAGTGAATTTTATTATCGAGAGTAAGCAACGGTGTTTTTTTAAGATAATTCGTGTGATATATTAAATGACTATTCAGTATATTTTATACTCAGTATATTTTATATTTAGTATATTCTATACTTTAAAATGCAACTCTGTCCATCATTTGTCCGCATGTACTTACTGTTAATATCAGATTATCCAACAGAGAATAAAGACGAGCCATTCCTATAAATGAAAGCGAATCTTTAAGTTTGCAATGGGTCTTTTAAATGTTGGTAAAATTTTTTTCAAATTTCCGAAATTACAAGCAAAAAGACTATCTCTTGCAGATGTCGAGGATACTTTTCAGACGATCAGACTTTAAACCGCAATGCAATTTAAAAAGTCTAACAATCTTAGAACGTATAAGCAAAAAAATTTCGATTCATCGCAGATTTCTCTGAATCGACAATTAACTAAAGCGAAGTGTGTGTGTGGTAATTTGAGATGGATCCAGCTGTCATACAAAACTTACGGTTACGTCAACATTGTTGAAGATGTTTGCATTTTAGAGGCAACAGCGCGTGCATGTATCTTTTTTAAATATATTACGAAATTCTGAAGCATATAAGATACGATAAGAAAAAAGATGAGCTTTGAATTGCGCAACGTAGTATCAGGAATATTATACGTGGTGAGGCGCAAAATTGTTCGTCACTTTTGTCCCACATATAGGTTTAAATTAGCTTAAGTATAATAAGTAAAGTAGGGTTAGTAGGGTAAGGAGGTTAGATGTAACGGAAATGAAATTTCCATTTGACTGACTAAACAACAAAACCAAATTCGAAGTCAACTTCGACGGCAACGTTGATCTGATAAGAAAGGCGAGGAGTATTTAATCGTCTTTCGTCTCGAGCCGTGAACGAGGAAAGTTCATACTACGAAAGGGATCAGCTAAGTAAAACATGGGATAATATCATGTAGAGGAAAATTGTGAAATGATGGAAGTAACCTAGAAATTTTAGATGTAAAATCAGTCAAATGATATTAACTTGTAACCACAATATAGAGTACGATTAGAATATGAATAGAGGAAGCATTGAAGGTGGATTAATATTACTAAAGTCTGAAGAAAAACAGATTTCGTTCCTTATAATGCTAAGCTTGGAAGTGCAAGTCACCGTGTTACGATCAAGTCAATGGCAATTTGGAGAGAATGATATATGACTAGTGAGTGGATATGTGCATGACCAGCAAGTAAGAGTTATTTCTCTGCCGCAATGAGATTTGATCCTGACGCTACTCTTATCCACCCGGTTATATGGCATCTCAACTAAGAATTGTTAAGTAGTGTTTTCGGTATGTGCTGCAGGTGAAATGTCATTACACTCTAGCATTGGCGGATGTGTAAAAAGGATATCAATGTTGCGTGAATTTCGGCTCTAAATTTATTTCTTTTTAATCAAACATATTTCAGCGTTTCCATTAAGAGGAGATATACTATTATGCGCGGGCATTAACTCGGAAGAATTTCATTTATTTTCCATAAAAAAAGCACAAATATTTAACTGTAAAAAAAGCTTTTAGTGATCAGTTGCATGAAAGACAGTGACCTTTCGTTTATTTTAGGAAAACTTTATTTTGTTGAATCTATCGTGAAAACACCTTCTAAACTTTATTCTCCAAGCATTACTAATACAGTGCAGACATTCAAGTCTCTCATTTTCTTGTGCTAACAACATTTTCTACGTTGATTACCATTATCATGTTTTTTTTGTTTTTTTTTTTGTTTTTTATTGTCTTCAGTAGAAACAATGTGCTTTATAACCGTAAAGGTCACCTTTGCGCCTGAGAATTGCATGAGGCAGGCAGAAGTCTGTGTTCTATGTATGCGTGAAAGTATTTTCTATGTGTTTATGTGTTCTTTAAACAAGTCATTTACTATATTTGTTTTGCTTAAGTCATATTTGTATATGTGTGTGTTTTTTTTTTTTTTCTCGTTTTAGAGTAGCATAAGCATACGCACTGGCACTTGACGTATATGTTTTGAGTATGAAACGGAAACATATAAAGTTTCCGTAATTGTTAGTCAGTCTACACTCTAGGATAGCATACATATATATATATATATATATGTACAATTACATATGTCTGTACGTATTTTTTATAAACACATAAGCACTTAAAGGAGAAAGCAAATGCCGGATATTAAATAAGAACCTTCAACTCTGGTGTTGTGAAAGCGAAAAGAAAATGAAGAAAAAAAAAAAAATACCATGACAGCATAAATTTTTTCTCTATTTTAATGTTGTTTGAAAAGAGACAGAACAGAAATGGCAGTTGAAAAGTATAGAATTATATATATATATATATATATATATATATACGAACGATTGTACGTAAGCATGTGTTTGTTTGTTTTAATTTTGACATGGTCTTGAATGTGTAATAAACACTTTGTATTATCTGTTAAATTAAAACTGGCAGAAGAGGGAATTATATCGAGTGTGTGCGTGTGTGTCGCATAAGGAGAGAAAGAAAAAAGAAGAAGAAGAAGAAGACAAGTAGCACACTTTAGAAGTCATGTGCCTATGATTGCGTTTCGTTTTGCAAAATGTTGTATATAAGGCATGGTAAAAATACAGTGGCATTAGCAATTAAATGCTATTTAATTAAATTTTTCATTTAAATGATTTTAAGGAATTTCGCTTTTCTTATTAGTTTGAATTTTTATGACTCTTTGCAGATGTTTTCTTCATTATATTCTTGTTCTGACAAATGAGAAACTCGAACGAAGAAAAGAAGCTTCCAGTTGAAAATAATTGAATTAAGACGTGAAGTGGAACAGAAGAGAAGAGTAAATACATGAGAAATGTTCTATAAATTGTTTTTTTTTTTTTTTTTTTTCTTATATACATATAAATATATATAAAATTACTCTCGTATGAAATCAAACTGAAATAGTGACTAAATTTATTATTAAAAGGAAAGAGAGAGAGAGTGAGTGCAGAATAATAAAATGAAGTGCTATAAATGTCAACACTTAATGCCAACAACGTGCTGTAGTTTAACCATAGCAAGAAGAAACAAAATCAAGACCAGAACTAAATGCAGAGCCAAAACGAGAACGAGAACAACATCAACAGCTAACGTTCGTGTTGCAGTCAGTCTAACAACGACCACCAGTATATTTATGACTCTATTATTTCTATTGTCATGCTCGAGAAACGTAACATTAGCCCGATTGCATTCCTCCTCTTCAACGTCTACGGTAGCCTTGCACGGCATGAATAGCGTTGGTAACGGCCCCGTAGTAGGTGTTGGCAACTCATTAACCACTAAAGATGCACACGGTAAGTAATATGAAATATAGATTATATTATAAAGTCGCTCAATTTTATGAAGTTTTATGTACCTCGTTCATGTTAGAATTTACATTTTTTTTTTTTTTTTTTTTTTTTTTTTATATGAAGTGTTTTTTTTTTTTTTTTAAATTCTACAGAAAACCCATTTTCATATCAAGCATCCCCTTCCGTGTTACTCCGTTGCTGTTAGTCCATTCAAAAATTGTATGCAAATTTTAATTTAAAAAAGGTAATAAGTATTATTTTGAGCATATGTTCGGGTTGTACTATCTACGGCATAGATATACAACTATATATATATGCGCTCCACATATACATATAATAGAAATATTACATTATGTTTTTTATTTCCTTGACACCACTTGTTTATATTTTTAATTACGCA